CCTGCTACATTTCACTGTTGAAAAAAGTGATTTCAGACAAACAAGTGCATTTTAAATTGCTTAGGTTTTCCATTTACGGGAATGCACAGAAAGAAGAGCCACCTTCCATCTTTAACTCAAATTCCAAGCCATAATCTGCAAATAGTAGCCAGATGAGCAATATGGCAGAGGAGAGAGAGAATGCAAATTGTCTACATGCAAAATGACAACGAAATTAACAAGAGTGCTTTTATTTCGACACTTATTTAAGGGAAGTCTGTAACCAGATAAGCTTATTCATTGGCAATAAGAGTATTTCAATTTAGTTTACACACAATTTAAACCAAACTGCTAATAAAACCATTCTGAAGCTGAGTGTCAGCGCCCAGAGCTGCAAGAGAGAGACAGTTAGGAGCAATTAATACAGTTCGTGTATGTTAGCCAGGCAAGCAATCACGCATTCAAGCAGACAACCTGAGCATTGCGGGTGGATCCTAATGACAACTGTCTGCGGCCACTGTCCAGAGGGCCCCAAAGAACCAATCACTGCAGTCCTGCCACAACCAGCATATGAGGCACTTGTGAGTCCTGCCCTACCAAGCCCCATACTGTAAACGCAATATTCTCACAGGCCATGGGGTCATCGGGGAAGGTTCCTGCACAGCAGGGTCACAAGAAGAGACCCATCCCAACCCCATGCACAGGAGTCATGGGAATCCACCCCACAGAAAAAAGTTGTATGAATGGGGGGGAATAGCCCTGTCCACACACAAAAGCACATACAGTCAGAGGTACCAGTCATGACAGGCACAACCTGTAAATGGTGGGCTCAGCCCTGCCCACCTACACACACAGGGCCCCCTCAATACAGACTACAGAGGGTTGGGCTAGCCTTGCACCTAGCAGCAGCCCACATGCAGGGACCTTCCTACTACAGTCTGTGCCTTCCTCCCCCTCCCAGTATAGGATGAGGGTGGGACTAGCCCACCACATACACAGGGGCTCTCCAGTGCAGGTGTGAGTGTGGGGCTAGCCCTCCCCCCCACAGACACAGGGACACCCCAGTGCAGGTGTGAGTGTGGGGCTAGCCCTCCCCCCCACAGACACAGGGACACCCCAGTGCAGGTGTGAGTGTGGGGCTAGCCCTCCCCCCCACAGACACAGGGACACCCCAGTGCAGGTGTGAGTGTGGGGCTAGCCCTCCCCCCCACAGACACAGGGACACCCCAGTGCAGGTGTGAGTGTGGGGCTAGCCCTCCCCCCCACAGACACAGGGACACCCCAGTGCAGGTGTGAGTGTGGGGCTAGCCCTCCCCCCCACAGACACAGGGACACCCCAGTGCAGGTGTGAGTGTGGGGCTAGCCCTCCCCCCCACAGACACAGGGACACCCCAGTGCAGGTGTGAGTGTGGGGCTAGCCCTCCCCCCCACAGACACAGGGACACCCCAGTGCAGGTGTGAGTGTGGGGCTAGCCCTCCCCCCCACAGACACAGGGACACCCCAGTGCAGGTGTGAGTGTGGGGCTAGCCCTCCCCCCCACAGACACAGGGACACCCCAGTGCAGGTGTGAGTGTGGGGCTAGCCCTAAGTGCCTCCGCCGGAAGGAGGGGGGGCTTCGCAAACCCTGCACATAACCCCGCCCCGCTGAGGGCATGACGCCATTTCCGCTTCCAGTTCCCTTCTGCTGGGCAGGTGAGCGCGAGAGCGGCGTGCCCACGCACTCACTCACCGGCGGCTCTTGGCCGCCCCAC